TTTGTTATCTCGAGAAATCAAAAACCTGCCATAGTGGATTTTATTGCCCTACTAACTGACTTTTGAAGCAGCTGGTTAATCTCCTCCATACACCCCCCCTCTTCGCAACCTGTGTAGACGCCTCTGCTGCACTGAGCTCGCTACTTTACACAAAACAAATAGGTCACAAGTCTAATTTTTTTTTACAAACCATTTAAATGTATATTATATCTATTTGCATAATGTTAAAATAAACAACATTAAAATTGACGGCGTCCTCGAAAAGGAATAATTTATTCCTTTTGACGTAGCACCAAAATATTGGGATGAATTTATTGTTATTTTACAAGGTACAAATCCTAAGATCTTATTATACACATCGAAACCATTTTTTTCTAGCTTTAGAAGATGCGTTATTATAAACTTATATAAAATATAATTAATATAGAAGGCACAAGTTTTATGAATTTAAAAATAATAAAAAAATTAAAATATTCGTCTATTTTTTAGGCTTGATACGTCTACTGCTAATCATGACCACACTTACTTAATTTAAATGCTATTTATGTAGTCCGTGCTCAATCTTTAATTTCCTCCTTATAGAGACGTGCGACATATGTAAACTATATATCCAGTATGTATTTTTGCACCTTTGGACTACACTACACATAAAACAAATTTGAAGCCAGCTCAAGTGGGTCTGATTCAACAAGGCAAGAAGACATGGATGCGGAAGTGGAATGATCGAGTTGATTTAAATATGTACCTATAGGTTAGTTTGTACGAGGCCAGAGAACTGTTCTTTAACAGTCACTCGATTATGTAATCAAACAAGTCCCCAGTTCATACTCAGAGTAAATCTGAATTACGAATTAGCAAGAATTCGATGATTAGGGTGGTCAATGTCGATTTCAACTGACGAACTATATTTATATTCACAGTCAGAAATGAAATATATTTTTTCAAGGATGCAACGATTGATGAAAAGTTTAAATTATCCCCAAATCTTCTCAACAGATCCAGATATGTTTGTAACTCTACTGTTTACTTTTAACGTTAAAATATGACAATTCTAATGAACTCAGTGTATATTAAATAGAAGAAGTAGTAGAGATATGATACAGAATGTTTAAAGCTTTAAAAAAAATTATTTAAAAACTCCTAATGGTAAAAAATTTACTCTATGTATGTGTGTGTGTGCGCGTGTGTGCGCGTGTGTGCGCGTGTGTGCGCGTGTGTGCGCGTGTGTGCGCGTGTGTGCGCGTGTGTGCGCGTGTGTGCGCGTGTGTGCGCGTGTGTGCGCGTGTGTGCGCGTGTGTGCGCGTGTGTGCGCGTGTGTGCGCGTGTGTGCGCGTGTGTGCGCGTGTGTGCGCGTGTGTGCGCGTGTGTGCGCGTGTGTGCGCGTGTGTGCGCGTGTGTGCGCGTGTGTGCGCGTGTGTGCGCGTGTGTGCGCGTGTGTGCGCGTGTGTGCGCGTGTGTGCGCGTGTGTGCGCGTGTGTGCGCGTGTGTGCGCGTGTGTGCGCGTGTGTGCGCGTGTGTGCGCGTGTGTGCGCGTGTGTGCGCGTGTGTGCGCGTGTGTGCGCGTGTGTGCGCGTGTGTGCGCGTGTGTGCGCGTGTGTGCGCGTGTGTGCGCGTGTGTGCGCGTGTGTGCGCGTGTGTGCGCGTGTGTGCGCGTGTGTGCGCGTGTGTGCGCGTGTGTGCGCGTGTGTGCGCGTGTGTGCGCGTGTGTGCGCGTGTGTGCGCGTGTGTGCGCGTGTGTGCGCGTGTGTGCGCGTGTGTGCGCGTGTGTGCGCGTGTGTGCGCGTGTGTGCGCGTGTGTGCGCGTGTGTGCGCGTGTGTGCGCGTGTGTGCGCGTGTGTGCGCGTGTGTGCGCGTGTGTGCGCGTGTGTGCGCGTGTGTGCGCGTGTGTGCGCGTGTGTGCGCGTGTGTGCGCGTGTGTGCGCGTGTGTGCGCGTGTGTGCGCGTGTGTGCGCGTGTGTGCGCGTGTGTGCGCGTGTGTGCGCGTGTGTGCGCGTGTGTGCGCGTGTGTGCGCGTGTGTGCGCGTGTGTGCGCGTGTGTGCGCGTGTGTGCGCGTGTGTGCGCGTGTGTGCGCGTGTGTGCGCGTGTGTGCGCGTGTGTGCGCGTGTGTGCGCGTGTGTGCGCGTGTGTGCGCGTGTGTGCGCGTGTGTGCGCGTGTGTGCGCGTGTGTGCGCGTGTGTGCGCGTGTGTGCGCGTGTGTGCGCGTGTGTGCGCGTGTGTGCGCGTGTGTGCGCGTGTGTGCGCGTGTGTGCGCGTGTGTGCGCGTGTGTGCGCGTGTGTGCGCGTGTGTGCGCGTGTGTGCGCGTGTGTGCGCGTGTGTGCGCGTGTGTGCGCGTGTGTGCGCGTGTGTGCGCGTGTGTGCGCGTGTGTGCGCGTGTGTGCGCGTGTGTGCGCGTGTGTGCGCGTGTGTGCGCGTGTGTGCGCGTGTGTGCGCGTGTGTGCGCGTGTGTGCGCGTGTGTGCGCGTGTGTGCGCGTGTGTGCGCGTGTGTGCGCGTGTGTGCGCGTGTGTGCGCGTGTGTGCGCGTGTGTGCGCGTGTGTGCGCGTGTGTGCGCGTGTGTGCGCGTGTGTGCGCGTGTGTGCGCGTGTGTGCGCGTGTGTGCGCGTGTGTGCGCGTGTGTGCGCGTGTGTGCGCGTGTGTGCGCGTGTGTGCGCGTGTGTGCGCGTGTGTGCGCGTGTGTGCGCGTGTGTGCGCGTGTGTGCGCGTGTGTGCGCGTGTGTGCGCGTGTGTGCGCGTGTGTGCGCGTGTGTGCGCGTGTGTGCGCGTGTGTGCGCGTGTGTGCGCGTGTGTGCGCGTGTGTGCGCGTGTGTGCGCGTGTGTGCGCGTGTGTGCGCGTGTGTGCGCGTGTGTGCGCGTGTGTGCGCGTGTGTGCGCGTGTGTGCGCGTGTGTGCGCGTGTGTGCGCGTGTGTGCGCGTGTGTGCGCGTGTGTGCGCGTGTGTGCGCGTGTGTGCGCGTGTGTGCGCGTGTGTGCGCGTGTGTGCGCGTGTGTGCGCGTGTGTGCGCGTGTGTGCGCGTGTGTGCGCGTGTGTGCGCGTGTGTGCGCGTGTGTGCGCGTGTGTGCGCGTGTGTGCGCGTGTGTGCGCGTGTGTGCGCGTGTGTGCGCGTGTGTGCGCGTGTGTGCGCGTGTGTGCGCGTGTGTGCGCGTGTGTGCGCGTGTGTGCGCGTGTGTGCGCGTGNGTGTGTGTGTGTGTGTGTGTGTGTGTGTGTGTGTGTGTGTGTGTGTGTGTGTGTGTGTGTGTGTGTGTGTGTGTGTGTGTGTGTGTGTGTGTGTGTGTGTGTGTGTGTGTGTGTGTGTGTGTGTGTAAAAACTTTTAATTTAAAAGTATAGATTAAAGGAATCATTAAACGAACTTCAAATTTATGTTTTCGGAAGTGAAGGCCGCTAAATCATGAATCATGACTCCCTGCGGGCGTCACAAACTTAATACACGACACTGATCTTATGAAAAACGCTAGACGAACGTTATCAGTTCTGGGGGCACTCTGCTTTGATAAATCGGAGTCTAAAGGCACTCAGTCAAGTGGCCATCAGTCAAGTGACCATCAGTCTAGTGGCCATCAGTCTATTAGCACTCAGTTTAATTATGCACTAATTCTAGTGGTACTTACTCTAGTGGTACTCAGTCTAACTGTACTCAGTGTAGTGGTACTCAGTCTTATGGTGCCCTACTCTTTTCTATGCTTAACTTAACTGTAGTGTAACCGATTCCAGGGAGCTATGTCAAATGTGCAATTCTTTCATTTGGTGTCCCAGGGATTCCCAATTCCATGTTAATTTATTGCCAGTCATTTCATTCAAAAAATAGGTCCATCAGAACTTAAGAATGTCTGTAACAAATTATACAATGGTAAAACAAATAAGTAGCATTTATTAACAGTAGGTTGTTTAAAAAAAGTAGGTTATCTTACGCCTATGATAAAAATATACATTAATTTATATTACACACAATGGGAAAATATTCTGTTGTGTTAATTGAATTTCAATTTAATGATAATGAAAGTTTAGCATCACTTCTATTTTCTTAATTTTTTAGCAACAGCTTAACAATTGTATCTATGTTTCATCTTCAGAAAAAAATAAATAAAATACAATGAAGCAATAAAAAAAAAACAAATCAAATTAAAGCACACACATTTTTCAGAGCTTGGGGCTTGGCCGTTTAGAAAGTATTGAAAGTATAGAATATGCCCAATGTAGACCGACGCACCAGGGCTCCTCAGTAATCACGTAATCTTAAATTACACCCGTGTTAACATACATCCAATTATTCCATTCAGAATATTTAAAACAAAACATTTAATTAGAAGTAAGATATACTAAAGAAACATTTAATTTGATTATTATTTTAAAACAATGCATGCTTATTAAAGAAGGAAATGTTATTTATTTTATGGATTACACTCTGAAATATTATTGAGAGACAAGAGTTTTGTCTCGGGAAAATGTAAAAAAAAATTTTTTTTAAATATAAATTATGAACATTCGTGAAATTGTAAGACATTGGATCAGTGCACTCAGTATTGATCAATATGGAAATAGCAATTTTCATAGTTGAGCGTATCACTTTGATAATATAAGAAAATTTAAAAAATAACATAAAATTTTTAGAATCAATTTTAACAAAAGTAACTGGTAGACTTTCTGCTGAACATAGTTTAATTCATTTTGTTAAAAAGAGTTTATAGCATGTAAAGAAACAGGATCACTTTAGTTTTAGTAACTTTGCTGAAATACTATAGTTAAAAGGTATTTTAGTATTTACAATTAAATTGGGGGTATTTTTCTAAATATAAAAAGCAATTTATTCACCACATTTGCTAAGGTCCTTTCATAAAATATCAATCTCTCGACCAAATCGGTTTCATTCGGATATTTCAAGGATGTAATTCTTGTGTTTAGAATAAACTTTCAGTTTAGTTATTGGTGTATATATTTGTGTCATTTTTTGTCTCTTGATTGCGGTCTAAGAAGTGGCTGGTATTTGATCCAGTCGTTCCCAGTTTGTGGTCACCCAAGTTACTGTAGGATGAAGATGTCTCATTGTATCTGTCTAGTATCTGATACAGTATTTTATACTGCGTCTGTGGAACAAATGGTGTGTATTTTAAAATGTAAAATTGGCTTTTAAAGGAAGACACTGTAACTGATTTTAGTGTTTAATCTATTTTTTAATTCATATGTTTCTAAAAAACTATCATTCATTGTTTTGTTATAAATAGAAATATATATTAAAACTTTAGGTTAAATATTAATCTTGAAATTCTTTAAAATAAACCTGAGAATGAAGAAATTGAAAAAAAAAAAAACTATTCTTATAACATGTCTAACAAATCAGGTTTGAACTTTTGATTTTTGCACACGGGACTTAAAGGAAGGCTATCTGAGAGAAGTATGAAGTTAGGGATTTATTTTATTTTTGCGATTGATTTTCATGGGACTGAAGTAAAGAGGACGATAGAGCAGACCTATGAAGAAGCTGGATGTGCATTTTACGTTTAAGTAATCATTGTTTACGAAGTGAGGTTATATTTATTATAAATTTTGAAAATGCTAATCATGTGATGTTGCTGATATTATTATTCTTATTGTTCCAAGGATTATGTGTTGTGTAAATAGAGTGCTTAGTGTGAAGATGGACTTCAAATTTCAACTTGTGTAGAACTGGTAGTAACAGTAGCTCTATTATTTAAATTTAGATGACAATCATCAATACGTGTCCCATAGACAGAAAGTGAATACTGACAACCGTTAATGTCTTTTGTACTAAAAATGAAAAAGTTAAAGAGGTTTTTTTTTGGTTTTTTAAAAGTATCGCTAAAATTGTTTCATAATTAAAAAATAAAAACACTCTTCTGATGTCATTATATGTCAGGTATAGTTTTTTTGTTTTTAAATCGTATGATATGTTGATATAGAGCCCCAAAGACTGGCCAGCTATTTATTAAGGTTTTATTAACTCAGCTTACAAGTGTTGGAATGACTTGTGGTCTTATTGATTTCAAAGCTCCAACAGTCAATGGAACGGCCAAGCACTGGTCATTGTCCAGTCTGTCTAAAAGTAAAATCAAAGCACACGCCAATCCACTGAATTCTGCTCCATTTCTGGGAAAGACAAGAAATGTGCGTCAGTGTGAGATTATATCTTATACGATAGCCACAGCTGAGACACGCAGGCTAGCCCCGAAAAAAGCAATCTTCGACCACCGACTATATCAACTGTTCCTTGCTTTCGATGCCAGAGACTACTCCGAGGACGGATTGGACTAGCAAGCCACCTACGAACTAATCGTGACCCAGCCCTACTCCTAACCGGATGACTAACAGGTCTTGTCGATTTTGACGGAAGAACAACAACGAATCTTTTTTTTAATACGTTATTGCCCCTGTTCAAAGATATAGTTTTTTGTAAATGTTGAATGACAAATCTAAAGGCTAAAACATAGGATAATATTACATGTTCATTGTTTCTGAATGTCGCATTTCATGACAATTTATAATTTCACATCATTTATTCATATTAAATTTTAATAAAAACATCAGAACTCAAGATAAGAAAGAAAGCATTTGACGTCATTCGTTTAGCTTTGTGCATTCCTTGCATAATTTGTATTTAAACAGTTCCGTATGCAATTGATAGATTTAATTTAAATAACGAGCCATACACATTCCATGTTTTGAAACAGTGAAATAATCAAAGATTAAAACGACATTTATCTGAAATTCAATAATCAGCCAATAATCATACCTGTATTTCAACATACCTGCATGTGTACACAATTCTACCCGATGTTTTTGGCAGAAGTGTCCTGAGGTGCTTTACAAAAGTCAAAAGTTTACTTGGGTCTAGTGCAGTAAATGTACACTTGATATGGGTCAAGACTTGTTCTCCGCTTCTCTGTTCAAAAGTGAACGAACGAAAGGGTAATAATTTAATCTCGGTATGCACATCCACTTATATTTTGAACGTTTTAATACATTTAAGTTTATTTTGTTTCATATTTTACTACTAGTATACTACCAGCATTACAAAATACTTAATGTAATAACCCGTAGCACTGTTCATGTAATGAAATTATGAACAGAGCTGATACATTGCTTGAAGTTAGGATGATTACCCGTGTCAATAAAGGTGACAGCCCTTGTTGTTGCTGAAATCAAAGTGTTTAAACTGTGTACAAAAACCAGCGTAAGATATTGAGTGTTCTAATGAATAACGTACCGATCGGCTCTTGCGTGATTTGATACGGATAACCTGCTCCTCCCACAATTCGCTAACTTTGCTCGGACCTCTGTTCATGACAAATAAGCTGCTGTCCATGTTGTCAGATAAGTAGTTGGCAATAGTCTGGAAACACGTGTAAATAAAACATCACTGGTTGGCAAAAGACGAATAAACCTAATAACTATTGAGCTTGATGTGTTCTAGACTCAATTTTGTTTAGCCGTTTATTCTACAGAAGTGGCTTTGACTGCTCTATTGTGTAATCAACTTTTTGTTACTTTTTGAAAAAAAATTGTATATTGTTTAGTTTTGGACTGTGCACTGTATTGTAAAAATATATATCGGAAAAATATTAGCAACAACTGACTATATGAATTCTATAAAAAAAAATCAAATATGGTAAGATTGGCTGGAGCTCTGACTAACAGTGTTGAGTGCATGAAACATTGTAGCCCTTAAAACAATTTCTACATATATTCTGCGGGGAAAAAACAACAACAATAAATACAGCATTACCGGGTCTTTACTTATAGCATCCAGCTCAAAAGACACAATAACATGCACATTGTACTGATGTACAAGTCTCCAAAAGTCTATCACTGTTGTCGTTAACGGAAGCTGGGTCAGAATTTGGCCATCAATGCGAGATAAACTCTGTTTAGAAGAAAAAACAACAGCACCAATAAACCAAAGAATAGTCGACACATTGTTTTAAGATTTACTACATGGGACTCTTCAATTGGAAATAAAGAATTAACAAACCTTAACTAAATATGCTGACCTAAATGTGTTTATTAATCTTAATATTATATATTTTATACAAAAAAATTAATTTGAATGGAACAATCTTCATTACTGTATATACATTTAATAATTTGACAAATACCTAAATAAATGTGCCACGCATAAATTAGATGAATGTAAATTTAATTTAAGACATATTTTACTTTAAAAAGTCCGTAGATAAAATTTCAAGAATTGAGCTAAAAGAAATTAGCTAGGAAATTATCAAAAATCTGTGATCTATTAACACTTAATATAGTTTCTTTTAACTAGATTTTGGTCGAGGCATTTGTTTAGCATGCAATTAAAATTATATCCGGAAATGTGTACTCAAGAAATGTGTACTCAAGAAATGTGTACTCAAGAAATGTGTACTCAAGAAATGTGTACTCAAGAAATGTGTACTCAAGAAATATGTACTCAAGAAATGTGTTCTCAAGAAATGTGTTCTCAAGAAATGTGTACTCAAGAAATGTGTTCTCAAGAAATGTGTTCTCAAGAAATGTGTACTCAAGAAATGTGTTCTCAAGAAATGTGTACTCAAGAAATGTGTTCTCAAGAAATGTGTTCTCAAGAAATGTGTACTCAAGAAATGTGTACTCAAGAAATGTGTACTCAAGAAATGTGTACTCAAGAAATGTGTTCTCAAGAAATGTGTTCTCAAGAAATGTGTTCTCAAGAAATGTGTACTCAAGAAATGTGTACTCAAGAAATGTGTACTCAAGAAATGTGTACTCAAGAAATGTGTTCCATGGAACATTTTATGGCGGAAGATTTTTGAATGGATATTTCCTGGAACTGAAATGTATTGGAGCGGAATATTGTTAAAAATGAAATTTGTGTAATAGTGGTTTATTTTTTCCTTTGATATTTTTTAAAGCAAGGAGGGAATGGGGATTATGGAAAATGTAAATAAAAACAAAATTGATCAACCCTTATAATAAAAATGTTTCCTATAATTTCATTATGTGCATTTTTATTGGCATGTACGTAACTGTATGTGATTTATTATTTATTAAGAAGCGGTTTTGTAATGTCAAAATTTATGGCTCAAAGAAGTTTCATATTTACTTTATATACCCCTTTCAAAAATAATTGTTTACCTCCTACCCAAATATTTCACAAATAAAAAGAGCATAGCTTCAGCTAATCAATTAATCTCAATACCAAAACATGCAGCCATTGAAAAAATCATATTTCCTTTATCTTCCTCATGAAAAACTGGAAGCAGCTATTTTAGAGGGTTTTGACACAACATTTGATCGAATGTGTTGCCATTGGCAACAAGTTCATGTCACACGTTTCAATTTGATAGGATGAAGGGAAGTGGGTCAATTAGCTTTCCAAAATTTAGCCTTTAACACAGAAAAACAAGAAAAAAATGAAATTTAAAATAAAATATTTAAAAAGATATCTTTATGTTTGGAGTTTCCCATTACCTAATCTTGAAATAAATTCCATTCCATAAAACTTTTGTTTAACAATGATCCGCTAAACAAATATTTTGTGTACACATTTCCGGTAACCGTTAAAGAAAAAAACTAAATATAAATAGTACACATAAATTTATTTAAAATTTTAAAAAATATATATAAATATATTTCTTATTTCTTTTATGGTTAATAGTAATTTAAATAGTTAAACTTTAAAATTACAGAGTTTCTTTTAGAAATCTTTAAAACTAAAATGAAATGACATGATCTTACTGGCACCATGACGGCGTTGATATAATCACTCATGTGGCTTTCTTCACATTCCAGTTTGACTGCATAGCCTGGATCTAATTAAAATACAATTATCATTCAACATAGTTTTACCTTCTATATTTTTAAAAAAGCTCTTGCATTTTTAATTTTAAATAATGTGTTATATCACATAATATAACAGGACACAATCATGTAAGGCTATCTTAGTTGATATTGTAGCCTAATTTTCTTTCTTTTTTTTTTTTTTAGGAATAACTTTTTTTATAGTTAATTATAAGAAACGTCTTTCACAGTCACTTTTACAAATCTTTCACATGCATAGATACGCTGTATCACATGAGCGAGTATGGGGTTAAAAGAAAACAAAGAGGAAACTCAAAAGATTTAACCCATTGATCGGTTATCTTTGAATATATTTTAACCCGAATAAATGACAGTGCCGTGAAAAGATTGGAAAAGGCGGTCCAAAGAAAACTGATAATCACACCCAGCAGTAAGGTAAGGACAAAGCCAGACACTAAAATGTATTTTTTGTATTTGTAGTACATCAGAGCGAGTGTGTAAGAGAATCGCTGCGTTGTATACGCCAATGTTCATGTGGCCAAGTGCTTTTAGGCAGAGGCGTTTCTAGGCTTGGAGTCAACGGAGGGTATAAATTCATTTTGTCAATCCGCCCCCCCCCCATTTTTTCTCCAGACACCCCCACCCCCTTCAGGACCTAGACCTAGTAATTAAAAACCAGATGATGCAGAATTGCTTATAGTACAGCTTGTTAATTAAGTCTAAAGTCTTAAACACTTATGAAATATAAACAATTTACAAAATCTTAAACAAATTTTCGTAGCCTTAAATTATAGCACTAACATACCCTAATTGTAAATACATCAATGCAAATATGATAATAAAACAATCCTTAGGTTGTCGTCACCGTGATGCTTGGGCAAAGAGATCGAACATATAAGATGATAGTTATTACTAAACACAAGAGGTGAAAAAGCTATCAAATGTTGCTGATTCGTTGAGACAATGAAGGATAAGTAGGCTAGCAAGTAGGCAAGTCTTTAATTTCAATGTCTTATTCCTTCTTGTTTCATGACTTGGGTGCTATACAAGGAATGGAGCAGAAACTTTATTGATTTGAACCGTCTTTCCATTTCAAGCATAACTACATCTTGTTCCCCTGTCTACTATTTTAAAACAACACCTATCGAAGAATCGACTTTCGAATTTATCGTATATGTTTGCGTTAACATCGCTAAATCACGACTCACTTTGGGCGTCACAAAGTTTGCCTGCTCCAATGCTATTATGAAAAACACACCAGACGCTCTTGTGATACTCAGTTCTTGTGGCACCCAGTCTAGTGACACTCAATATAGTGGCGCTCAGTCTAGTGGCAAGCAGTCAAGTGGCATCTAGTGGCACTCTGTCTAGTAGCATCTAGTGACACTCAGTCTAGTGGCACTGAATCTAGTGGCACTCAGACTAGTTGCATCTAGTAGCGCTCAGTCTACTGGCAATCCGTGTATGGGCGCTCGTATTGTTAGAACTCTTCTCTTGTTCGAATTTAACTTCAATGGTATAAAACTGACCGGAGGGAGCTCTGTTAAAGTTGCCATTTCTCATTTGGTGTGCTCGGGTATTCCAACCATTCATTATTAACGAAAAGTCCTCAAATTTTTGTTCCCTAAAGAAATTTAGGTAGTCTCTATACAGTGAGACTTTAACAAACCAAATCCATAAAAAGAAACAGAGGATCTTTCAGTTTTTAATTTTTATCCTGTTAGATTTTACATTATTTGTTTATAACATTATCTATTGAATTCATTTACTAAATGCTATTCCATTCACATGTGAACAGAAGATAAAATCATGTGATATAATCATGTGACCAAATCATGTGTTAAAATTGTTGCCTTTTAAAAAATAAAAAATGCAACTTACGAGCTTTTATTAAAGGGAACCTACTCTTCCTGTGGTTGTTAAGGCAGTCGTTATTTTGGTAGACGCTGGGGTCGCCTGAATCGCAGTCTGACTCAAGGTCGTCTACTGTTTTATCCTCTGTTATATGGCAAACAGCCTGGAGAACATTTTTATACCTAAGTAGCTTTGAATTGAATTGTTGCTTTTGTCCCCTTCAATTAAATTAAACTGCTTAGTTTGTATTCTTTTCTTCATAGGCTATTTTATAATATACATCTTAAATATATTCATACATTTAGAAAAGAATACTTTAGTAAGTACACTTAAATAGGAAATAAATAAGTTACATATATATATAACTCTAAAAGTCTATCTTTATAATGAGTTATAAAATCGTGTATCCCAATAAACGATGCTGCTGGGGACGTCAAGGCTTGACATGTAAATAGTTCGGGGGGGGGGGGGGGGGGGATTTTTTTTTATAAAACTGCCTTTTAGATTAAATAAATATGCGTAATTGTTTTAATGTCATGACTATTTTTGTCAATATTTTTATGTGAAGCGTGGTGAGCCCAGTCCTAGGCTGGTGTACAACGTTATATAAGACCAATGTATAATTATAATAATAATAAAAATTGAAATGCATAAAATTTGCTACTCTTTACGTCTCATGCACTTTTTATAACTAAATAGCAAGATAAAAGCCAGCTTGACTATACGATGAGATTCATTTAACCTCGAATTCTTGTTCCATCTGTGTACGTCCGGGAGCAGATTTGTATTCTAGCATTCTAAGCCTGTTTGTTATTTCTAATGCTTTGACCGTTGTTTCTCTGCACAACCAAGCAATCCGAACAAGCCTGTGTAAGAACTCGTACTGTTCCTGATTTGAACAGAGAAAACAATGGTAATTGTTAGCAGTTACTTGTAAGTTCTTTTAAAACTGTAGTGTATCAAATCATCAGTTTGTTGGTGGCAATATTTTCAGCAGCTTGATTCTACCAATGAAAAATAATTCATCCTTCAAACACAGTACCTAGTGCTATTTTCTTAGGAACGGGAGGTTGTTGGACTGTCCGATCCGTGCGGAACTTAATTTCTATATGGTCGTTACTTAAATGGCTCTAGCTAAGAATAGAAATAAGTGTATTCCCTTGAAAGTATCCTTGAGCCATCCGAACAAACGCATGTGGTAACATTAAAATGTCTAACTTAAAACGTGTTGCTGTAGTTTTTTAAACATTTCCGCTACCATACGTACAAACGTGTTTTATATGAAAAGGATATTTTAATGTTTTAAAGAACAAAAGGAAATGTATTTATATAGCCTTCTTTCATTCTAAAGTGAACTTTTAAAATTTAAGAACAAATCTGTCTATTTTGCTCATTTATTCCTTACATTTAATAATACTGAATTATAATGCATTTGTAGATTAATTATTTTTATTTTTTTTTTTTAAAACGAAATCTTGATTCCAGTATATTGCCTGTAGTCATTCCCACCTAGTTTCAGAATGCCCAAAATATAACTAAGCCCAAGCAATATAGACATCAAAACTTACAGCAGTTTGTACCATCATTATTCTCGCTTTTCTCAGTTTGGTGACTGTTTGAAAGACGTCCATGTTTCCAGTTATTTCAGCTTCTCTCATTGTATTGCAGAGTGCTATAAACGTCCCAGTGCGACCTACACCAGCACTATAATAAAACATATACATATACTTTTAATAGCTTGTCCTTTCTATTTGCCATCAAATGCTTATAAGTAAATTTTTTCCCCCTAAAATTAAAATGTTTAAAAAGTCAAGTTGCTATTTTGTTGAACATGGACCTAACCTGAAAAAAAAAAAAATTTTTTTTTTTTTTTTTTTTTTTTTTTAAATAGTTAAATCTGTTAACATAGTTACATATTTTAAAAAAAAAATACACTATTGATCTTCTTATAATTTGTACTTGGTTAAAAACTGATGATTACAAAAAGATTTATTCTGATGATATTAATAGTATTTTGTAACTGAATACCGCTTATGGCAAGTTTAAGATCAAGTTGCATGTATAAACCTGCAATGTACAACAATCGGTCTGGTCGTTGGACATGACGTGACTCTCTGTTCAAAGTCCACCAGACTCCAAGCGCTCATCGGTACCCCTTTGTCTGGCCAGGAGGTGAAGTGATAGTGTACCACAGTCTGTCCAGGGGCGTGCCTCTTAAAGAACGATGAGATATGTAACTTGTCAATAAAGAATTTATTTTTAAAATACTGAAATCAGGTCAACTAGAAGAAAGCAAAGAAATAACCATTTTGCGTAAGCTTCTTCTACGATGTTGTCAATAGGAAAAGAAAATAAAGAAAAACCCAGTCTATTTATAAGTTTATGTTAGGACTGAGTGCGCATTTATTATTAATTGAAATAAGTGTTACCAGATTGTGTTATAGGTTTACTGATCTCAGTATTTTCATATTTCTGCTTGTCTACGTCAGTTGAAACCGTTACAATTAAAATATGCTTTTTTTTCCAAAGGCTACCAGTCTTTTTAATTTTTTTTTTAACAAAAAAAAATAATTTACGAGTGTACATATTTTTAAATTTTTAAGGAATGATAAGCAGGATTTTCTGTCGAATTTACTTAACTTTATCATACATTTGTCATACATAAACAAACACATGAAATATAAATGAAACTATAATTCACTCTAAAAAACTCCACATTATAAGTATTCAATTTCATTGGGCAAGCAATTGGTTAATGCTACAGAAGTGTGAAAATTTGGGTATAAAGTTGTAACATAGTTTATCGAGTTAATAAATATTTAATGTAAATAATAGCATTTTATAATATGCTTTGAGCATTCCATTGACTCAGGAAATAATAGCATTAATTGTATCAATTAATTAACGCATATAGTCATATATAGCACTAACCTTTTTTAACTCCAGCCGTCGAATAGTGTAGTGAGCAAACACTTCTGTTGTTGACAAGATTACTGTAATATTTCCAAATTTAGCTTTACCGTCTACAGGCCAGTACCTCTCACATTTAATCTTGAAAACAACGGTAGATTATCAAACATTGTAAAAAGAAAGATACTAAAAAACACGCTAAGTATTATGAGGATTAATTAGAGATGATCGTTGAATGATTAATCAATTACAATAAATTATGTTTCATTTTATTTGAATTCAAAGATGCATTTCAATATGACCCTTACGATACTTCCTTTTGATTTTCCAGTATTTCGAACTAACTTTTAGTAACAAAAATAGGTAACAATGAATCAACATACGAACTTCAAATTTCGACACACATTTCTATATGACATGCACATGAACATAAAAAGAAATATCATTCTTACAACATGCAACAAAATTAAAGAAAATGTAACAACGGGTAAGCAGACCTTGTTTTCTTCAATCAGATTAGTGAGCATGACAACCTTGTCAACCTTGTGCTCCCACAACATCCGCACGAAGTCATTCACCATTATTTTGTTAGGACCTGGGACCGAAGGATTCAGAAAGATTTTCTTTAAAAGAGTAACACGTTGCAGAGAGAAGTTAGACGTCAAAAAATGTTAGGTCAATACGATTTGCTTTTCAAGACTACTCAAAGTGATAATTAGATAAACAATCCCGCTTCTCGGAGGTCAGAGTTCAACAATTTTTAAAGATCCGGAATAATTAGGCACAATAAGGAGGTTGAATTTTTTCGGAGGTGACCATTATATGAATCATCCACGAGCCATCGTAGGACTCTCTGCAGGACTATCTGTATGATTACCAGGAGGACTGTCTGTAGGCCTCTTGTTTAAAGGTTGACAGGTAGGGTTTAAGACTGTCTGTAAAGCTGTTATGTAAATGTCGACAGGCATACTGTCGATAGGCCTATTGTTCAAAGGCCGGCATATATTAGAGAAGATGTTAAGATAACTTTTTTTTCGAAGCACTGGGACCCACCGGCATTTTTTCTCAAAATACACGGACCTGGTGCAAAAACTGCCCCTGGTTCAGCCTTAGTAGTAAATAAAGAGAGTGGAAAGGATAACCGGCTATATATGGTAGCAGCTTACCTTGTGAAGCAATGAACTCATTTTCTTTATTGTAGCCCTAAAACAAGACATATATTTATTTATTATTAAGGATTATCACTGCTTTAGCTTTCAGTCAGTTAGATGAATTTCTTACCTCAAATGGGCCACCATTTTCTCTCCGCACCAAAAAAGTTATATGTTTAAGTTTGTAACTTTCATGTTTTGTACAATTATTATGTTTAAGAAAGTCGTGAGTAAATTATTTTATGATGTATACTAAACTGATATACTCAGATTTATTGTTACATGTTGAATTATCTAAACCTTCAAAGATCATTTTGCACAATACAAATGTGTGTTTGATTTACAGGATCAAATGAGCAATAACAAAGACAACACATTTGCAGTTTTGGGCACCGTAAAGTTACTTCAACTCAAATATTTAACCAGACGACATAATATTATTATTCTAAGATAAAAAAACAAAACCATTTTTTCAACCGAATTATAACTAAACTAATTTCTTACCAAATTACAAATATAAATTTGATAAGAGTGTTTTAATTTTAGATTTTTATATTTGATAATTGAAATATCAATGGGAGTAAATGCTCATAATATCTACCTGGATGAATGAAGCATTAATATAATCCCCCTCATTGTTTTCTGTGTTAATCTCCAAGCGCACTCTTGAATGGTCATCTTTAAAAATCGGGAAAATAATGACAATGTATATCCAATAATTTTATAATTCACTATTGTGAAACCTGATTTTTGGTTTTTTTAATCAAATGAAAACAAATAAAAACTTCTATTGCAATAGCTCTTGAGCCATGTAATCAAGTACATTTCTTATAAATTATAGTAGTTATCAAATAAAACCTAAGAGCTCATTGTAATTAATGCATTTCATCACATTTTAATTTTGCTAAACTTTTTTCTTTTACTTTTCTTCTAAACGTTGGCTGCAAATAAATAAATAAAAACTGAAGGAAATGTGAAGATTATATAAATACTTAAGAAACATAAGTTATTTTATCAATTTTGCATAAGTAATTTAGAAGATGTACGGATGTAGGTACATTTTTTTTACAGAAAAAGAACAAGAAATGTTGACCTGAAAAAATAGTGTTAGAAAATGTGTAAGACATAATAACTCGTAGTCATGCATTTTGAAAGTGTATTAGACATGCTTAGGTGTACACATGTACGGAAACATAAGACGTACGGACACGTGAACGTGGGGCTAGAAAGTTTGTAAGACGTCATGACAAGCACACATGTGGCTAGAAAATGTATCATGACATACTGACATGTGCAAATGTTTTTGTATCGATTCTTAGCTCTATTTTCTTCATTCAGGCCAACTTCCGTGGTGACGTTCTCAGGAACTTGGATTCTCTGAAATAATAAATCATGTGAAGAGTCTATCTAAAAAATGCCAAAATATAACACCTCTTTTTGTAAATAACATCCTAGTAATAACATACATAAGTAACATAAAAAATAACGGATAACAATGGATAGACATTATCAACATTATGTAACATAAAAACAAATTAAAGAATTAAAAAATGCAGAGAAATTATCAAAATTTTGTAACATAAAAAAATTAAAAGATTAAAAAGGATAGAGGTTTTCAACATTATGTAACATAAAAAATCAAAGGATTAAAAAGGATAGACATTATCAACATTATGTAACATAAAAAATCAAAGGATTAAAAAGGATAGACATTATCAACATTATGTAACATAAAAAAATAAATGATTAACAAGGATAGACATTTTCAACATTATGTAACAATAAAAAAGTGAAGGATTAAAAAGATAGATGTTATCAACATTGTACGGCATCTTTCCGTCTGCGGGAGACGATAGATTATCTTTATTGCTTGCACCTCTTGGTGTGGCTGATGAGACCAATCCTCGAATGACAGTCTCTGTTACATTTCCCACAAACGAATGCGGTGGAGCAGTATTGACCGGTCTTCCTCCTCGCTCTTTTTTGAAGCTGTTTCCGCCCTGTTTTGCTCTTCGGCATGTAGTGATCCTGCCTTTCAGGATCATGCCTCGCCATGAGGATCGATCGATATCAACATTATGTAACAATAAAAAGTAACGGATTAAAAAAGGGTAGATATTATCAACCTACATAAAACTGTTCCTGAAAGAACTGCGATTTGTGAGACTGTAAGAATGCTCCCAGGTCTGCTACACAAATGCCAGTATGATTCTCAAGCTCAAATGTATCGTAAACGTTTATGATTCCAAAATGATCTATAGAATTTCTGGGATCACATAATGGTAGTTCGTCTGTTTGAAAGAAAAGAATGATAATTGAAATACATATCATATATATCTAAGACATTCAGTTTTAAAATTATTAAAATTAAATACATTAAATATAGACTAAATGTAAGCATCGTAAGACAAACCTATTTCCTCTAAATCTGTCTGGCTTGAGTTATTCCCATCTGTCTTGTTTAGATTTCCTGCTATGTTACGCCGTCTCCTTTAAAGTAAATGAATTTCATTTACTTATAATATTTATTTAGGCATTTTTATATAGCGCTTACCTTAAAGCTCTAAGCGCTTTACAATTATTAAACACATGTAAACTAAGTAAAATACAAATGAAAAAACCAGAGACTTTAGGATAGTAACTACTATACTATAGAAAAAATTAAAATAGCTATAAAACGAGTACACTTTGGCACGTTTTGGCATATACTACAGGATCAACCCGAGACAGAAAATATTTAACTTAAATAATAAATTGTATTATTTCAAGCTATTGTGTTACTATTTATGTACTTTAAGGCTAGAAAGTCACAAAGATGTTCAACGTTAAAGTCACGTGATACTCAAATCATTTGATTTCTTTCATTTCCTTAAAAACGTGATAACTTGGATAATACTTTATCTTACAATAAAAACGTTTACGAATTTAATTAATACAAGTTTTTAATGGGTATATTGCTTACCTGCGCTGCACCACAACTATTAATACGACAGCAATCACGGTAAGGAGCACTACAACAGAAACGATGGCAGATGTTGTTGATGGCGATGTAGACTCTTCTAAATAAACATGAAAATAGTATTCCATGTAGATCTAGTCAAACATTTTTATGTTTACGCAAAACTGTTTTTTTTTTATATTTTTAATTTCTTTTTTCGTTTTCTAACGTAACGGATTATTTGTAATTATTTTATTTTGTTTTTAAAGCTATTAAGCTAAAAATATACGATGAAACTTGTTTTTTTTTTTTTTTTTTTTTTTTTTTTTTTTTTTTTTTTTTTTTTTTTTTTTAAGCCAGTTTTTAAAGAGAATAATAGATTTTACATATTTATAAGCAAAAAACCTACATATTTTTTTATCATAGTCAGATTTTAACTCATTTTCTCTTATTACTGAAACATTTAATATTGAAATATAATATTTGTAACAAAAACAGGTACAGTATTTATACAAACTGATATAACGCCCCCATGTCACCCGAGTGATTTAACTAGCCAGGATACAAGGATTATAAGTATGTTTTGTGATGAGCTTTAGGAGTATTATGAAAGCTAATTTGGTTTAGCTGAAAGAAGAAGCATAATAAACAAGTGTGCTAAAATATAAGATCTGTGCGCGAGACAACAGATGGTTATATACAGTAGCCCATCAGTTAGTTAGTTATAATAAGGAGCTCAGTACTTAAGATGTAAGCAAGAAGAGTTATTTAAATAGATTGCATGTAACAAAGATATGACAAGTTTAGACAGAGATTGTTGGGTAAACAAATGAAGTTAAATCAATAATTCTATGCTATGCCCTTAAGATCCATAGACGTTTTAAATGAAACGGTCCTTAAAAAACAACAAACTAAAATGTCAAGGAATATTTAAATTTGACTAATGCATTGATGGTGACCCGCTGCTTAAAACAGTGTTGACTAAACTTGGGATTCCATTAAGTGAACGAGATGTGGGCAGCGTTCTTAACACTAATCAGTACGACTTACTCTCTTCACATAGACTGCCAGTGCTTCCTTTAGGACAGCTATGACAGCTTCCTGTCACGTGGTGACACAGCTCATCCAGACAGCTTTCATTGCACGCCAGTGAGCAGTTCTGGCCGTAAAGTGTAGGGGGGCACACTGAAACAAAACAGTTACATAATGAAAAAAGAAATACTTTATTACGAATATAAGATTTTCATTTGAAGAATATTTTAATGGCCATATAAAATAATCGTATAGAAGTTAAAACGAGCTATTATCTCCCGAAAGGGCCAAGGAGTTCGCTAATATGTTTGCGCGGCTCCATAGATTAATTTGAACATGGACTAGGATTCCTTAAATTGAATACATTCTTCACTGTGATTGAATGGATGATAGGCTTGTGGTTTATGTTAAAATAACCGACATAGCCACTGCTATTATGATCTATCTGTTTTCTGATGCCTGATCTAAAGCATCA